TAAACCAAATTCAATTAAAGATTATTAAGTTCAGTCAAGTATTGATTTCCATTTAATTTTAGAGTGAATACTATATATTTCACATAAGTACCGCAGTAAAATGCAAATAACTTGTTACACCTAATACTAATATACAAAAAAATTTTCAAATTCGACCTTTTGTCTACTTACTCTGTAGTTTCTTTTCAAAATCTGTGGCTTCATCGTATTCCTTTTCCGAGTCCACAAGCACACCATTGAAGCGATCAACGCTACCACAGAATACACCCTCTGGCACCTCCATGTCTTTTCCACCCGATTCTTGTCTGTAAACATTTTATTGATGATTTACATTTATTTACAATATTTCATGAACAATAATCATAACGTACTTAAACAATTTACTTGTAGTTGAAATAAAACGCGTTTGCGTTTGCTTTTGCACTCTTTGACAATCGCTTAGCAGCTGAAAGGGTTGTTGCAAATGTGAAAGAGACGAGACAACGTACTTAAAACAACGAATTTTACTGTTCTCGCGATATGAACTGTCAATTGTGCAAATATGTTTATTTTTCATGCTAAAATTTCTATTACACAATAACAACGGTGTCGGCGTCGGCGTCGGCGCTAATAAACGCAATGACGACAAAGCTCTTGTTAAAGGGGCTGATAACAGGCAAACGGAACTGGGCAATAACATTGTATGCGCATTCGACGAAGTCCGGCTTCGTATATAGGCTACCGATAGTCGCATGGTATGCATGCCGACGGCAGTTATTAGATGGCAGTGATATTTGAGCTGCATGGAAACTGCAGTTAAGCGTAGTACTGCGCCAATTGAATTAATGGTAGACTGCGGGTAGACAAACATGTACTAATATGCCTTTTTAGAAAAAGTGCCAACAGATTCAGTTGCGGATATTTTCTGTTTATTTCTCTTTTTATTTCTTGGCGTTTTTGTTGATTAACGTTATCGTTTGCTTTGTTTACCGATACCGTCTTTATCATTATCACATATTTATTATCTTTATTGATATAAATGTTACAGAACTGCAGATAGTTTTACACATGCATGTATGCTATGAGACTGCGGCGGCTACAACTATTTTGTAGCTAACAACGGTACGCTAATCTTCCATGTGTTTATTCGTTAGAAGGCACTTTTTTATAAATTAAAACTTATTAAACTAGTAAGCACCACAAATACGTATAAAATTTTATGAACAGCTGAGCTATCACAGAATCAAAACAAAAGCAACGACAAGTGCGCATCAAAACAAAAGCGCTGATAAGAATTTTGACAATTAGCAAACAGCTGCTCCATTGGGTTGCCACATCAGACAAATATATTTGCTTTTAATTTTAATATGTTATAAACATGATCTGAAGTATTATTTTTTTTTTATTTAAAGTATTATCTCGTTTTAAAATTTTCGCATATCATTATTATTAAGTAAAACTATGGTTTATAAATAAAATTTTTTGTTAAAATAAAAGGTGTAATTGTAGGTTTGCGACTTTGATAAACGGAAATGCAACTGCGTTAATCCATTCAACTGGAACTTCCCTTTTTTTCAAATTGGAATGTGTTTCTGAAACGATTGTTGAAATGTTGAAGTGAGTAAAATTAATTAAATTAAGAAGAAAATATCTAAAATAACTTGTTAGTTGCACTGTTACAGTCTACACTTTATGATCAACAAAGAAATAAAGTAAGAAATCTATCACATTTAAGAACCTCATGATGACCTAGTCTAAACTAGTTCTTTGCGAGTTAGGACCTCATTAAGGCACTACTTGGATTCCTAAATATCCCAACGGGAGTAAAATGGAGCGAGTTATGACCTATAATTGCGAATCGATGGAATATGTTCGAGTAATGAGGTGGGTAAGTTTAAAAATTCTTCTAAAATTTGACTAACCTACATATTGTATATAGCTTAAACGTATATTATACTCGAAAACTTTGCCAACAGAAATCGTTAAGCAACGTGGAGAATGTCCAAGTCAAGTAATGTTAGTTCAAGCATAAATTTTAAGATTTCTTTGTGAAAATAAAAATTGTTTTGTGTCAGCAAATTGGAGTACGTTACTTTATAAAATGCTTCTCAGTAAGACAACTGCTCACCACCACTTATAAAAACATATGTATGTATATGTGCTTATGTATGTAGAACTTCAAAAAGTTAATATGTTATCTACTCATTGTTCCAAATAGCCTTTCACTAACTTACTTTTTGTTCACTTTTACTTGCTTATCTCTAAAATAGCTTTGACAGGAAGCGAAACTTTTTGAATTAGCAAATAGTAAATCTCATAAAAGAAGTGGCAAACACTCTATGTAAACAAAAGCAAGTGTTTTTAACACTCACATGTCGTTGACACATATGTATACTACTTTATCCCATATGGTAATTATTTGCAGGTGAATGACACTTCTAACTTCAAATCAGCAAGATTGTAGAAGTGTGAAGAGCATAATGTATGTTAAAATTCATAAAATATGCCACAATTGGTTTGCTCATTTATACAAATTTACATATAGGTATGTAGATCTGTATTATTAAAAAAACATATACTTTTACTTAACATTTTGCTTTCAATAACAGTTCTGTACTCTTTCACTTTATGTAATCTTGCTTGTTGTACTCTCAATTTGTCACGGAATTCTCTTTTTAGCTACTTCCTGCGCAATAACACTGACCTATGAGGCCATAAAAATGGGCATCAACCATTGTAACACCACCCCATAGTTTCCGCCGCCTAATGACGAGGTAACAGCATACATTTCTGCGCTCATCATCTGAAAATGCCGCCTGTGAAAATGTGCTGTTCACATCATGCTACGCAATTAAGCGTCCTGTGAATTTTACCACCAAAATTCTTAACAGTTGTAGTTGTTTATGCAGCCATAGTGATGTAGTGTAGTAGAGTTCATGTATTCATATAGCCATTACTTCGTCACATGACGTCACAAGCCAGCGTATGGTAGATCTGAGGAGTTTTTTTTAAATATATTATATTTTCATTTGTTCTTCATTTGATAAAATTAGCTCTAATTTATTCTAGTATATTTATTTGCTTTAAAAATTAAATGGGACTATTCGCATTTTTAAATATCTAAACACAAATTATCTGCTATTTCTGATAAAAAAAAGTGATAAAATGCACATCCCGTTAATATTAATTTTAGATCCCTAAATTCGTTGACCCGCAAGGAATCCGTTTAGCAGGGGTAACCGTTAATTTCAATTATAGACATTTATTCATTTGTTGAAATTTTTGAATATACGGTTGTTTTTAAAATTTTTGAAAATTGTTTATTTTTTTCGAAAACTCTCTTACGTAAAGTTTGAATTCTGTATTAATATAGACAAAATATTATTACCATTTAGATGTTCTCGAAAGCTTTTTAGGCTCTACAGATTTTAAAATTTTGCATACTATGTATAATCAGACATTAGTTTATGAGAAGTTTTAGCTTAGCTTTTCTTGATATTGAAATATTCGATTCAATGAATATTTACAAAATCCCTGGTTTTGGAAGTTTTTTAGAGTACTTAGGCATTCGTCTATCCGGATTTCTTATTTATGTTTTTGTTGGAAACTCTCTATGAAATTCTAATTATTAATTTTGATATAAAACTATGAATTAATTAGTAAGTTTTTTATTTAATATTATTTTGGGAATTTAAATATAATTATCTCTTTTTTCGAAATCCATAATTAATTTAAGCAGCTCGTTGTGAATAAATGCTTTTTTTAATATATATTTAATAATATATCGTTGTGAATAAATGCTTTTTTTAATATATGTACATATACATACATATGTATTTAAAAACAACTAATTCTAATATTAAAATTTTCTAATTTTAAACTTCAACTACATCTGCATATGAATGATATTTTCTAATTTTAAAATTCTAATTTTAAACTATATAAAATACATTTGTGTTCTACATATATACCGTTATTTGTATGTACATATGTATATTCGGAAAGCTTTCACTTTAATCATAGGCTGGCAAATTATTGAATACCCGGAAATTAGCGCAACCCAACATTGGTTACACATTTAAAAATAGCGTTTTTTGTGGCATGGCTTATCTAAGCATTAGAAGCTCTATCATGATTTGTAGCTTAACATACCGCATACATATGTACATGCACACATTAAAGCGCTTGTCAATGCTGTCTCCCTTCTGTATGCGTCCATTAAAATGGCAGACAAACATGGCAGCGTATCCAGTAATACAAATGGTATTTCCTTGTTTGACTAACCACAGAGTACATACACACACATACATTTATGTATGTCTACTATAAACGTTGTATAAGCACAGCAGATGTGAAAAAGGTATGACGGAAAAATACCATACACAGTGTTTGTGCATGTACACAAGTGTACTCACAACACCAACGCAGAAAAATGTTGCGCATACGCCACGTTGTACCATAGTGTTAAGTACAGAATAACAGAGAGAACGGAACTGTATTTTATATTTACATTCAGAAATGCGCGCTGTTATAAGGGGTGGGTGGCACAATGTGGAAGTAGCTGTGTTTTTTAACGCTGGGTAATATAGAGTCGAGTCAGCTCGTAAACTTGGTGTGAAGATGTTTGTTATATATACATATGTACATATGTATTTGTGTTGTGCCTAGTAGTTGTTGGCATGATGAAATGAAAGTTGTGCGAGTTTATTGGCATAGGTTAGGGGTTTGAGATGCTGCTGCAGCTGTGATGTTAAACTTTGGGAGAGCTGTGTATTGTTGTGGCAGGATAACAAGTATTTGTTTGGTATAAATAGCATAGACATTTGGGCGGAACGTGTATTAACATTTGAAGACTGCGACGTAGCTGAGCTGTGCAACGGATAAGGAAAATATAATAAAAAATATAGTAATACAAAAGTATATTATCTATATAATTCTTTATTATGTATTACAAAAATTGTTAAAGAGAAGAAAAAGTGTGTTTAAATTAAAATTATATACATATTTAAGTGTGGTATATAACAAAATAATTAAACTAAGCATAATAGTGCTATTAACCGTCTCGTTTCTATTATAAGAAAATTATATTATTCAACTACATAAGCATCATTGTGCTTAATCGCAAATAATTTCAAAGCAGCAGCTATTGAAAAGTGTATCGAAATCTGTTTTTATGACACATTAAAGCAATAACAAAAAAATTTATAAACAAGAATAAACAACACGTCGCAGCCTGCATACACGCGCTTAGGATTAGAAATGGAGGGCTATCAGGATATGAGCGAGCTGGAAAAGTCGGTAAATATATACGCTACTCGATTTTAAGTATATACATTTACAGTTATTGCAACTATGGCTTGATTTTAAGTACATACGATTACATTTATTGTTACTGTGATATTCTGGTTCATTTCAAATTTATATCTGCTGACCTACTTCGTGACCTCTTCGCCTTTATTAATGCATAGTTTTGTGCGCTTTTATTTATTTTTACCGCACCCATACTAAGAACCGCATTATCTTCATTACTTCCTACAACCGCACACTATCATGCCCTCTGCAGATATTGTCCTCAAATATTTAATATCGTCATTGTTGCTGTTTAAATTACTGTATAGCTATATACAAACAAACATACATATGTATATGTATGTGTACACAACATCATATTGCTTTACTCAATGCTCTTATGCTTACTCTCTTTCATGTCGCACGTACTTACAATAAAATGGACAAAGGTCGCGCACGCGGGCACCCAACTCTATACGGTGGCACACAAATTGCACGAGGTCGAAACGACATTGGATCACACCAGCAGCCTGGATGATGTTGATGGCGTTTGTGTCATGGAACTGCTCGAGTCCATGGAGGAGGTCAAAGCGGAATATCATCATCTGGTACAAAATATACGCGAGGTGCACCAGTTGCAACGTGACGTCACCACATCGATACGCTTTCAAATGCGTAACATGCAGCAGACATTCGAATCGCTTAAGAAACGCATCGAATTGCGCGTTACGCAAAACTGAAAACCATGCGCTGAGAGCTGTGAAAGTACGGCATACATTTAGGTGCTGGAAGGAAATACGTAAAATGGGAAGCTGTGGCGACAAGGCGTGAGAATAAAATATATTTCTTAGGTAGTCTTTATTTTTTTACTTTTATTTTTGAATGAGAACTAAGTACGTCTTAAGTCGCCTCATTTTTGTTTTTTACGTTCTTAGAGATATACATAGATTATAAGTAACGCATTTGTGTATCAAAATTTCCACAGTTTTATTTTAAAATATGCAACACTATTTCTGGCTAACTCTACTTGTTACTATTTTTGTGCATATTTGTTGAGCTATTATTTATTCTTTATTAAGTTGGCAAAACTCACCGCCAAAAGTTAGTAGTTTTAGTTAAAAAATTTGGTTTAAAATTTTAATTTTCGATTTAGTCCGAAATCGGAGTTTTATTAAATTTTCAATTTCTTGTTCGGGCATTTAAAAGTGAAAGTTAATTTTTTATTTTTATTTGAGAAGATAACAAAATGGTAGAACACGTGGTGAAGAAATATAAATTATAGAGCAATTTAATTTTTTAATTGTAACTTAAAAGTTTGGGATTAATTTTTTTTTAACCCATTACTGCTCACAGCTAAAACCTGCTATGATAAACTACAGAAATTTTAAGCAGACGTCTGTAATGATATTAAAAGGGTAATTTCCAATTTTCAAAAAAATGTCTTAAAAGATGTGGGCGCGGCGGAGATTAACCTAAGGGCTCATTAGATCGAATCATGCTTTTTCCGGTGTACAAATCGAAGTTCAACAAATATCCTTCTGAAGTAGTCATACACCAAATTTTGTATCCATAGCGAATTGGTTTTCCTCGTATAAACTGCTCCATCGATTCGTCTACAGAAAATGAAATTCCAAAGGGTTCTCCAAGCTCTTTAAACTTTGTATTTAAATGATCAAGAACAGGCTGAACTTTGAATGCCTTATTATTCGAATCACTTTGTGTATTATCATTGAAATGAAGGTAGCGATGTATTTTTTCAAACTTATTCCTCAAGCATGCGCGATTAAGTAACATTTTTAAACAGATCTTTTGGATTTAACAGTTTTCGGATTTATAAACAAAAGATGTTAATTCAATTACTTCGTAATGTATTATTTACAAACCTTTGCAAAAATTATGAGCGTCGTAAAGCAATTATTAAATATAAAAGTTATATATTTGCTTAATGTCTTTAGTTCACAGCAAGATACTTATTTAAATCAATTTATACAAAAGTAAAACGGAACGCAAATATTTATTTGAGATATTTCTCAAATTTGTGTTTATTTACTTTTTTGACAATCAGCTGTTTATTATAAGCACTGTAGGACTCATATGTAAATAGAGTTTGTTTGTATAAAAGTGCTTGTATTTGTTATCAACTTTTTTTTTGATAATACCCAATCAGGGTTGCAAAGAATGCCTTAAAAAAATTAATTGAATTAACTTTTGAAGTAATTTTTTTTTAATCTCGAAAATCTTAATTAGAAATAAATGTTAAAATTTTAATTTCAAACACGGGACACAAAACAAGTTTTTAGCTCAAATACCAGAAATGTAGTACCAAAAATTGCATTACAAACTAAAAATAGTTTTTTGGAAAATGCAATTTTTAATTAAATTGTATAACCCTCGTCTAACCCCTCGTCTAACATAAAACTTTTGATTGTATTGTCTTAAAAAACCTCTATTTATTTTTTATATATGAAATGAAAAGAGAACAAACAGGACGAAACATATATATGTAATTGCAGTTTTTCAAAATTATTATTACTACTATCATTAAAATAATTATTAACATTATTTAAACAATTATATTAATATATACTCGCAATGTATTTGCAATTTCCATATACTGTTTGCAAACTCTCATATGCCTCGCTGGTTCACATATAATATTACTCACTTTTAAATCCAGGTAAACTACCTGGTAGGTAAAATGCACTACTGTGTATGTATGTGTGTATGGCTTATTTTCGTCATTGTTGGTAACTAGATTTTACATTTACGATACAAGGACAAAAAGTAAAATGCATTTACATACATAAATACATATGTAAATGAATGGCACCAAAAAGGATAAGTGGCCTAGATGAAGTTTTAAATAGGAAATGTGCGCAGTAATTCGGGTGTCCCTAAGATATTTTGTAATATGTTATTTTATGCTGTGCTGTGCGCAGACACCTATAGGTGGCTGAAACACTTCAAGGTTCTTAAAATACTACACAAGGATTTTTTTTCAATACAAACTATTTCTAAGAAAATAGATTTGTATGTTAGAAGAAGTGGCAGCGCGTACAATTTGTTGCAGCACCCTTCGGAGGAAATGTTTATGTCTACATTTGAACTAATAGATAATTTAAATAAATTTAATTTTTATTATGTTGTTTTAGTTACTTATTTCTTATTACCTTTTTGCCAATGACAGGAGACACCATTTTATTTCTGGAATTTAATGTAAACAATGGTTTTTTTAATTAATTTTTAAACGATTTTTTTTTTTAATTTAAATTGCATATTTGTGGAAGTTATGATTAGAATAATTTCAAAATTACATTTTCTGTTTTGTTCACAAACTTAGAGAAATAAGACAATTTACTTAAAGTAACAAGTAAGAAAAAGCAATTTAATAGACTTAGTCATTAAAGAACTTAGCGGCATTTAAAGTGTATTAACTATATTGAAATACAAAAAATAAAACACAAATGTGAATAACCAAAAATATTTTAACGTATACTTATAAGTATCTTTAAGAAGCAATAATTTTTGTGCAATTTGAATAATATTTCCAAAAACTTAAAACTTTAATCAAATCACCTAAATATTTCGTATTGCATTTATAGCAAAAACGCATTTTTACTACTAATTCAAGGTTTCTAAGCAGCAACTACAAATACGAAAAACACTTTTTGGAATAAATAAAGTTTAAAAAACTATATAAAAAACTAACAATTTATGTTTAAAAATTGTTGACTTATTAAAAACAATACTTATTAGACCGTATTATATTATATTATATATGTTTTAAGAGCATGTCCTAATAATAAAAATGATAATTGAATTTTTATTTGTATTGTAATCTAATATGTTACAAATATTCTTCTTAAAATTAGTTGAACTGCTATATTTTATACAAAATAATAATAATATAAAATAACTTTAAACCTAATAATTTTGTACATGTTTTTCAAATGAGCTTTTGTTTTGTAAAAGCTAAATACATTTAGCAATAAAAAATAATATTAAAATATGTTAGTTACAAGTTACATACAGTTACGTTGCGGAATATACCGAATCTCCTTGTATTTTAAGTAAATCATAAAATATTGTAAATTATTCTAAAACTACCTAAAGACTAAAAGGCAAGTTGAATAAAATGCATAAGAAATTCAAGAAAACTCAAGCAAAGTTGTTAAGTACTATTTTACTTGCACATATTATATGTACATATGTATGTATGTCTCGTAAGATTTGAAGCATGTCAAATCGTTAATTCCATAGGTATCTTAATGGCACGACAGGCAGGTGTGACCATAAATGGAACAGCTGTTCGTATTCTCTCTCTTTTTAAAAATTTTCCTAAGTATACATATAAGTACATACATATACACTAAGATTTTATGTGCAAGAAATCACATTCAGAAAGGAGTTAATGTTCGCCGGCTGTATGTATGGAAGTGTGAATGAAAACAAAGGCTAGGATGGGCACGTGACTGCAGGTAAGTGCGTAATGTCCTATCCTTACTTGCATACATATGTATACACCCACAGTTGTTGTGGCTACAACAACTTAGATGTTTAAACAAATCCCTCCAAAAGTAACAACATGTGTATCTACAATGTGTACATAGCATTTGCAAATAGTTTGAAATGTGTTACATTTCCCTTCACATAAAATAATAACAGTAATAATCGTACATAATAACAATCCTACTAAAATATACGTAAACTTTATATAATAAACGTAAAATATTTTATGTTGAAAAATCGTATTTACGTATGTAAGTTCCTATCAAAATTATCCATAATTCCTACAGAGCATGGAAGTTTACTTTCCATGGAACATTTTGAGTGGCACTGGTATAATTACAAAACAGCTGTGATAAGCGCCACCTGACTTTTGCAAATAGGTTGCGTTTATGCGGAAGCTTATAAAATTAGCATTTTTAAATGGATAAATAAAGCTTAAAATATATTAAAAATGTGTAAATATGCAACGGTGTTATGTAAAGAAGAAATAAAATAATTTAATTAGCATTATATACCTTTCCAGTAGGTCTACACATACACAACAGCTGGCAACATCACTCAGATTTCTTTTGTTAAACGGGCTGGAAGAGAACTTGCAAATTTATTATTTTAGCCTGAAGCCGTAAAGTAATTTTATATATTTCGAAACTATCATATAGAATTAACTGGCTGACGTTTGATTTCTAGCAGTGTATTAAATAATATTAATATAAGTGCTTCTTTCTAACAGGTTAGTGATTATATTTTACCACATCTGTGACACCGCCGCTACGTACTATATAGCGTCGCTGCCGACAGCAAGATTTTTCGCTAACAAAAATTATGCGACTAAAAATGTTTTTCAACAATTTATTAACCAATATTATTCTGTTGTATATACAAAAATTGTATGCATATTCTAAACACTATTATGTACTTTCTTTGCGTTTACATTTTGCAGGAGCAAGATTGCAAATCAAAATTTTACCTGCAACGCATGTACACACATCTAAACAGCACGTACTATTCATTCAGATCGTAAGCGGTATCCGGAGCAGCTGCATATTAAGTCGGCCAGAGAAAATCTCTTGTCTTCTTTGCGCCTGTTCCTCACTAAGCAAGGGTCTCTACATACTCAACAAGGGTAAAAAAAAATTTTAAACTCCAACTTCAACCTCGTGCAACAACTACACCGGTGCGCAGAGTTGCAGCTGTAAAAGCCGGGTAGTTACACATTTTATTATACATACAAACACCTATGTACCGGCCTTGTTGTTTGGTCTGAGACGCCTGCTCTCTGCAAACTGAACGTCTGCAGTGCATAATCGTCAAGGTTTTCGTAATTCAACGATTCTGTTCAGTCTGAGAGCGCACATCCAGCAGTCATCAACGCACCGCATCACCAGCACGGAACGTAACCATTAAAATTTATAAAATAATTACTTGTCTGTTGGTATTACCACTCGTGCCAATAACTGTGGTTTTAGCCAGTCTAGATTCCAACTTGTAACATCATTTAGAACGAGTCTCCACTTATTACTGGAGTTTTCGTCCCACTGAGCACATATTGCATTGCACGTCTGTCGTTTGTCATCCACACATTGCTTTTGGTTCCGTTTGGTGTCTGTGCGTGAGTATGTGCACGTTTGTCTGACTAAACGCGCCCGTATAAAATAGTTGTGCCGTGCCTTTTTGTAGTCGTCGCGATCTGTGTCGTCGTGTCCATTTTCAGTTCCCGTACCCGTACCTATATTCAATCGGTAGTGTCGTAGCATTACTGCAATCGTGTATCTCTGGTCTGCGGAATTCACTGTGTCGTATTTTCGTTTTGCAAATTTGTTGCTGCTGGTTTTGCCACACATTTGCAAAAACAAGCAACCTAAAATACGAAACTCAACTTCGATCTCCTACGACAAGAGTAACTTCGTCATTGTGCAGCGAGAAGAGTAGCGAATATTTTAAAACGTACATTGCCGGTTGTGAACTTCGTTCTTGTGTGTCTATATCATCATCAATTTCATTGTGGTGGCAAGAGCGAGCTAACCAGTGCCACATTAACATTTACAGCGACAGCAGGAAGACTACATATTGCGAAATTTAAATATATATTTTTGATCATATTGAAAAAGAGGAAGCTAGAGTTAACTAGACGCCTACCTAGCAAAAATTTTCACACGGTGAATCTCAGACAAATTCATTACATTCCCGTTTTTATTGTTACATTTAAATAAATGGTTAATATGGAAAACGCCGAAGAAGTAATGCAAATTCTGGAGCGCTTTACGCGTCTAAAGCAAAAGGAGATACCCAAGGAGTTGGACGATTATTTGCAGTATGTGGCGAAAACCGGCGATACGGTCTTTAAATGGGCGAGCCTGAAATATTTATTCCGGGAGAAGTTGCTCAATGTGATTAAACATTTCCACGATACGTCGCCGCGTGTTGATGGTGAGTACAGAAATAAAAAAATATATACATACATACATATGTACCTCATTAAAAAGCACTAATCGTGCTACTCGTAAAAATGCAGGATATTATGATGAATGAATAAGTGTGGTAATTGTATGGCGGTGGCTGACAAATTTTATTGTCATGCAAGTAAATCCTCTTTTTCTGGATACTTACTAACCGGCTTTTTATACTTATACATGCCGCTTTCCTCCATTTCGCATCACATCATCGTTTCTATGAAGTTTTCGTGTCACATTTTTTCGTTTTATTCTTTTGTCGCAAAGTTGCAGTCGAAAATTGTCTGCATAAAAATGCTGTTTCTGTGTACATGGGGGCAACTTTCTCCTTGATAAATACCAAAGTTGTAAGAAGAATAAAATTTGCAGCAGCAAAAAACTTGCAATGCAGACGTGCTGAGCGTGAAAAGTAGGATATTCTTAACTACATACAAAATACAGAATTATTTTTGTACCATGTGTAATAATTCTAGAACCATATGAGCAACATACCTTTTTTATAATGAAAATGTAAATGTGTTTTAAATATCTTCCATCCAAATAGATAACAAAAAAAAAAATATTTTTAACTTTGCACTCATTGGGAACGCAGGCAGGCTTAGGAATTTATGGACATTTTTTTAAATTCAACAAGCTCTGAAGTTTCCTACGAAATAGCTGCTTTAATTGCAAACAATTAAAAAACACAAGGTCACGCGTTTGCAGTGGTTGATGCTAGATTAAAAGTTTTTAAGTGACGAATGTACATACAATTTTTTTTCTAATTTTAATTTGCAAATTAAATTAAAATAGATAGCATAATCAAATTACTTAATGAATGATTGTCGTATTTAGAATTTGATAATCGGAAAAAACAGCTAGCTAGATTCTTCAATAATTCGCCAAATGATGTGATCACAAAAAATTCTTATCCTTTTCTTTTTCTAACTCTTCATGGCACTAGTTGAGTTTCTCCATTGCTACCTGGCCACAAAATTTTTAATTGATTTAGATTTAATGACTCCAGCGTGAATTCTAACTAGAGTGTGCTTAAATCCCTATCACACCTGCTTGACAAAACATTATGAAGCAGAAAAGGAAAGAGAAGAAAATAACAAAAATAAATGCAGACATAAATAACTTTATATATTTGTACAAGTGGCTATGTACTTCACATATCCGAACATATGTACTTAATCCAAGCAAGTATGTAATTTTTTTTAATTTTTAAACTTTTTTTTGCTAAAGGGGGAGTATGGATTGACAGGCAGAAAGCTAAATGCGTAGCGCTCCATCAACACTATAACTTAATCATGTGTATTTGTGAGTACAAACAGATGTGACGTACATATGTATGTATTTACCAGCTTTCACACATACATACATATATATCACTTCATTATTATTGTTATTTTTTCTTTGCTAAGTTAACACCAGCGCACAATCACTTGCGCGAATTTTTTCCGAAAACAACTAAATGTGCAGAAAATAACTAATTTTAATTGTTATTCAGCGTGCGAAAACCTTACTCCCATTACACAAATTCTTGCTTGCCTTTTTTTGCAAATTTTTTATTTTATAGTGAAAAGAAAAGATAAAAGGCTTTAACTGCTTTGTAATTCCATTTTCGCTCATCTAATAGAATTTTGTAACTAAGCGCACTTGAAATCCCTCCATATTTTCGCTGTGCTTTCTTTTTGGTTATTATTTATAACACTAACGCTGACTAATCGCCGAAAAAGACTTTCCTGTGCGTCACAAATGCTTGCGGTAAAACAAGTGATATTCTCTGATATGATAAAGAAATTATTAATTTAAATATTTGTGTGCATTTGTACAAAATATTAAGTGATGTGTGCTGGTATGAGTCTCTTCGGTTAAAATAATTGTGATAATTTTTTTATACACACGCTTTGTTGGTCTTTTTTAATACAAAAATGATATGAATTAAAATTTTAGAAATTTTGAAGATAACAGTTTTAATTCAGCGAAGGAAATTAAAGCTATATTGTGTTTGTTGTAGTAGCTAAATTGGGCGCTACACATTTTGAAGAACTGTAACTGTACAAAGGTGCCTTTAGCAACTTTTGACTCCCATAAATTATGCAATATTACTTTTAACTAATATTTATTTAAAAAAAAAAAAAGGTTTGGTTGCTTAACCTCTTCGTTTTTATTCACGCTCACTAAACACTTCTTTCCGCGCAATTTTTGAAATTTTCACACCTATTAAGTCGTTAAAACTAAGCTATAATTTACTATAATTGATTAATGTTGTCGAATGTTGTGCTAATAATTATGTTGAAAAATTAAAACCAAAATTTTTCAATATAGCTTTTTTTAAATAAATAAGTGCTTTTTTAATTGTACTTTTTAATATAAACATACATACATATATATGTACATACCAAAACAACAAATCAATTAACAAATGTTGACTCAGCTCAACTAAATCTAAGTTAGTTTAAAATATTGACAAAATCATGATTTAAAGTAAATGAACACAACTTATGTTCATTTGTACATATAAACATACAAGTTTACCGAATATTGTGAATCATGCATATTCCATGAATGCTACTTTGCTAAAAATTCCCAACTGATTCGGAAGTAGCACAAAATGTGGAATGCGTTGACTTTCTCTCTAAACACTGAAGCTGATTGTCTAATAACGTGCTGTTCAGCTGCGCATTTTATTTTAATAAATTTAAGTTTTACTATAATTATTTTTTTTTTTTGAAATTTTGAAATCCATATTTCGTAAAAAAATATTTCCAATCGAGRGATTGTAGTTTTTGATTTATTTGTATACTTTGTATTGGGTACATTACAATATTTGATATTTTCTTAAAAAAAATGAATTATCCTTTTTAATCAAACTTATTTTATCGTTATTGAGAAAAATATATGATTTAATTTTTTTTTTGTTTACTTAAATATAATATACTTCAATTTAATTAATTTATTTTTTAGTTATATTTTTACTTCTTTATCTATTTGTTTCTTTACGTTTTTTCTTTAATTTAGTTTTAAATTCGTTTTATTTTTTTATCTTGTTAGTACGATTGTTATACAACCCGCAGATCAAAACAAAAACATGTAACAATTAATTTTTGTTATCTTGCGGCTACCGTTTTAATTTTATTTAGATTTTTATAAGAATCTTAATCATAAGATCTAATGCAAATGCTTTCCAGCTTTGTAATTGCCAATAAGTGCCGTGATGATATTTCTGTATGGCTAACCTCGTCACTTTAACTAACCTAACCCATATTATGCATCACTCATAAAAGTTACCAAGCGAAACAATTTTATTCCACCGTGTAATTTACAACCTACCTTGCGACGGACTTGATTACTTTACGGGCATTTTGTGCATTTCCACCGGTTTCATAAACCATAAATCACAATGTCAAGTCCTGACTATCACTGTCTCTAAAAACTTTTTAAACAGAAAAAAAAAAAACAAACAATATACACCAGTTACTTCGAAAAAGCTGAATTAAAAAAGAAAAACATAAAAAAATATAAATATTAAGCCATAAAACACACAGCTAAGTGAGCGCAATGAAAGAAACTCATAAAAGACGGCAACAAAGGCTTTTTTTGGTTGGCGAATTCCATGCTTTTCAAAGTCTGATTTCAAGTGAGCGGCGCTCATAGTCGACTCGTTTAAATGTGTTCATTCGCATCTTTCGAGGAACTTACTTTTTTTTTGTTATTTTATTACATACACTTTGCTTTTGCTCCGGCTCCTGCTTTTGTTGCTTCCGAATGCGCGACGGCTTAAAAAATGTCAGCAGCAGAAATTATAAAGAAACCGAACTGAAAAGCACACAGAATTTTTTCAAAAAGCAACAAAAAGTTTGTATATACATATGTACATACATGTGTACATGTATAGTATGAAATAATTAATACAATGGACAAAAAAAAAGGCTTCAAACTATTTTTAGGCTTTAATGACAACAACTAAAGGAGCCAGACACTCGAAAAATAATAATAATAATATTGAAAAAAAAATAATAATAATTCGACTGTGCTAACAATGGGCAGCAACAGCTCTCAGCAGCAGATTGGAATATACTTACATATGTATGTATATACATAACGTTGTGGGTAAGACGGATACACGTACTTATACATTTAACTGCCACATATGTATGTATGCATGTATGTATATGTTGCATGTGTTTGGCAAAAGCCTTAACCACCATGGGTATTAAAAGTCAACAAAAGCAATAACAACAACTACGCACATGTTCTACATACTCTTCTTATAGACTCTTGATACAACAAATATTCTTCACAAATGCAGCAAACATTTCCAACAAAAACAATTACAAACGACGGGGTGGTAATACGATGGATTCGTGCTCAGCAATTTCATTGTTTAGTTGGCTCTCAGCCGCTGGAGCTGCTTTTGGTCAATTATTTGTTGTTCTTTCTATAAAATATAGCTTGTGCATTTGTTGTCGCTGTAGCTTTCCCACTGCTGCTGCTTGTTTTCTCCTCCACCTCCTCCAATGTGACGTGCTGGTTTTGCATTTCTTTCCTACGCCGCCGCTTCTGCTGTGTTACCGGTGATTGCTTTCTTGATGTAGTTGTTGCTGTTAGTTTAGATTTTGCCGGTTTTCATTTTCAACTTCAATTGAAGGCGCAAGATAAATACATATGTAGATACATACATATACATACGAACTACAGTGAGCTTTAGAAATATTCATAAAATATATACTTTATATGAAATAAGAGGATCGTGCCACGAAAAAAGGTATTGAACTTCGTTTTTTTTTACTTTTTGACCAATATGATGAATTTTGTGTTTTGGAGAAAAAGCTCTCCGAGGGAAAAATAATTTTTTCTTGGACTTATTTTACTTTAAAAGCATATTATAGCATCGAGAGTTGCTAGCCCTTACAGTATTGATTGCTAAGAAAATTAAGAACTTAAACTTTAAAATCATTTTACAGTTGAAAATCAACCAAAAAACGATTTATAAACAATTGAATTAAATATTTTTATTTTGTAATCCCAAAATCTTAATGTATATTAAAAATATTAACAAACTTTAGTGCCAAATACCAAAAAAGGAAAAATTAATCCCAAGAATCGGATAAAGATAAATCCCAAAAATCGGATTAAAAAATTATTTTTATTTTAAGATTTTTTGGAACTAAAAAATTCGCTGCGTACTTTTGTAGCTCACTGTTTATGAACTCGTTCGCTTTGCATATTTACGAGCGCCTCCTCCTTGCAATGCTGTTGTTGTTGCCTCTGCAACTGTTGTTGTAATTGCTTGCTGCTGCTCTGACAACCATTACTGTGGCGTTTTCATGTTTTACTTTTATTTTTTGGGGAATTTTCGGTTACCGGCCTTTTAATGGGTTTTGTTTGTGTACTCTAAAACCAGATCTTTGTATATACACGTGTGTGTATCTATGTGTATAGCGTGCGCTTAGGTGTGCGCATGTGTGAATACACCAATTTAACAGCAGCACAGGAATAAATGGCCGGTAATTGCGGCCGCCTTCTCTGCCAGTCAATTTGTACAACCACATATGTACATATAAACGCACACTTAGATTTTATTTACTAACACTATACTGCTTTGACGGCGCTTTGTTGTTGTTAGTATAATAACAATTTGCTTGCAATAACACTTATTGTTGTTGCATTTAAGCTCATACATGTATTTTCTCACACTCTGGCACATAGCAACAACAATGCCGTACAATTTATGTACTCAAGATGTTGATAAATATGCTTTGCAAGTATGTATAAGTTATATAATAGCAGCGTGCGGTTGTCTTTGCTTTTGCAGCTGGCTAAAACGCCTGGAACTTGATGTTTGTTGTACATTTTAGAGCTATTTGCTGCAATTTCATGTATTTGCTTGCTTAATTACAACGTAGTTGGAGCTCACCTTGTGCGAATACCATTAAAAAAAGGGTTTCTGGCAGTAATTTAAGAAAACGACGAAATTTATTAATTGAAAGAGTCACAGACTGGAGATTTTGCGTGCTTTTGACTTTACTTTTGCACTCATATTTGGGGAAAGTGCTATTTGCCGACATATAGTTCGCTCAAATTTGAGGTTAAATTATATATACAATGTTTTGAGTTCTTTACAATTTTTGCAGTAAATTTAAATTTTTTTTATGGACCTGTTAGTATTAAAAACAAATTTAGTAACGATTATGACATTATTAATCGATTCTCAGTGGATTTATCATTGACAGTTCCTTTTAAATAAAATAAATTAACTTTTCTTAATTGAGCATGATCTTCGCATTACCTTTAAAATAACGATGAGTGCGCCGTAATGTAAGCTGTGAAATTGTATTCATTTAAAATATGTTGAAAAGGTTTTATTTGAAAAAATAAAAATTAAAAAAAAAATA